TCACTGGGAATCAAATATTAAACTACATGTTGGGACAGATAACGCTGTATTTACTAGTTTTAACTTTGACAAGATATCAATCTGTGGGTTTCAACTATACTAGAAGATAGATATTAATTACCGAAACATGGCAGTAAATATATAAAGAAATATGAACTGTACTGCTGGGACGAACTGTATTTGGTGACGAAATTACATTACCATGTTTTCCAAAAATAAGACAATGTCTCTTTTCACTTTTCTTTCGAAAAATAACACTGGGGCTTATTTGGGTGGGATGTATTTTATTTTCATTTATCAAAAAGAAGTAGAGAATTACGAGATTTTCAAATATACAAAATTTGAAAACCGATATCCATTTACTTAAAATTAACCTTCCCCTCTCTCACGCGTTTTAGATTTATCATTTAATTATCAGGGGTTCCCAAACTTTATTGGCCGCGGGCTAAAACTTGAATCGGAGGGATGTTCGCGGGCCGGAAGAGTGTAGCGCCTAAAAGCGCGTGACATGTCTAAGCTCTTATGGTTCAAAACTAAATTAATGCCCTATGTAATCATAATACCGGTACGAATAATTGAGATAACGCTTTAATTGGATTGTTACGATAAACACGTCCTTAAAGTTTGATAATGGCGTAACACTTGTTGCTATCTAGAATGCAAAAGGGGAAGCAAAATCTATTGCACACTATTTCACTCAAGCGGCGGGCCATTTTAAATCGTTAAGTGGGCCGGATTTGGCCCGCGGGCCGCGGTTTGGGAACCCCTGATTCAAAACGTGTAGAGTCATTTCTTGCTATCGACTGGGCAAAAAAAACTATTTCGCGCTATCGACTAGGTCTTTTTTTAGTGAAGGGCTTATATGAAAATCAATATTAAAATTTGGGCTAGGTCTTATTTTTGGGGAAACACGGTAGTGGTGGTGTAATAATGAATGATAGCTATAACTGATACTCAATTCGTTTTGCTAGGAAAATATTCGCGCGTATACTGATTTCCCAGATAATACACCCGAACGCCACCAACGCATTCCGAGATAAGATCGCGATTCAATCGGCTACACCTAACTGTAAATAAGCATGTAAAATTAACTTGATTTTCGCCGTTTCACAAAATGGTTCTACATTTTCCGATTGGGAGCGGAATTAACTCGATTTACCGTTTTAAGTGGAAATAAGACTTCAAATCAATCTATCATCAAATGGCAAACAGTATCATATATTGATCCCTATTGCTAGCCTGCTGTCTATATGGCCCAATAGCTCTCTACTCTATAGAGGAGGCCTTTTTTAATTGGGACTGTATATAGATCCCTATTCCCATTCTGTGTCCATATAATCGCCAAATGGCCCTCCACACAGAAGTCCATTCAAATGGCGATTTTGAACATATTACCATCCTTATTCCTAATCTGCTGTCAATATAGCAGACCACTAGCCAGGGTGGTCCAAGGTTGTCGGCTCCGCGGGCCACAAATTTATTTTTTCATTGTTCGCGGGCCACAATAGTGTCAGAAATAGAAAGCCAGATAATAATTTAGACTGAAAAGCACATCATTCAACTTCGCTATTTAGGATAGGATAGGATTTACATATTTATCCCGGAGAGAGGAAAGCCGATAAGACGGCGTAATCATATGGCTCGTCCGGTTACCATTCCAAGTCAGGTATGTGATTAGTTATATTGTTTGTTTTCGGAAGCATGGACTTGGTGGTGGAGCAAGCCGTAACCGACCAGCGGCTACGTGAACCACCCAACGACGGCGAGGAGTCCAGCAATCCTCTCGCACATAACCATCCCTGCATGGGATTCGAACCTGCGAACCCACGCAGAGTAATTAGAGGTGCGGTGGCGAGCGTATTTCTAACGCTTAGCCCGTTGAGCCACACCGCCGCGCCGCGCCACGTTTGCCTCGGCTATCCATAACCCTAGTCAATTAGGTGACATTAGGGATGTAACAATATATCAATAGATTTTTCTGATTAATTTTATTACGAAACAACACGAAATGCGATTTATTGATTACTTTCCGAATGCGACGCGGGCCACAGATAATGAAGCGGCGGGCCACATGTAGCCCGCGGGCCTGGGTTTGGACCACCCTGCACTAGGCAATAGCTCTCTATGGTGGGGGCCATTCAAATGACGTATTGGATCATATATACATTTATATTCCTAATCAATAGTTATCACAATCAGATGTCATTTCTACTACGTCGTATGTTTTATTTGGTTTTTGATTACATGCAAAATATAGTTAAAGTTACTGACTATTTCTATAACCCACGCTACTGTGAGAAATCGCGTCATTTTTACTACAATTTTATAATCATTGTATTCAGCGAATTTATCTTTTTTATTACTAACTTATGAATGATGTAAATGTAAACAATGATAAGCATTCGTCGAGTTCGCTTGTTTTGTTATGTAGTTTGCCAAAAGCAGGGCCAGTATTAGAATTGTCAAAGGGGTAGTAATTGACGAGTTAGTTGCCAAGACTATTGCTAGATTTGAATTTAAATTTGACTTTTACTTGCGAAAGAGATTGTCAATCAATTGAATTTAACTCTTATAAAATTCACTTACAGTAGCAGGACTGACATAGTTTTATTGTGGGCCTCTCGAAAATATAGTTTTCCGGAACGGAAAGCAATACATAAAGCTGCATACATTTGATAAACGCGCGTTTAATTCCCATTCTTTTTTTTTAAATAAATGTTCAAATGGCGCTTATACGGAGTTCAAATTTTCAAAATTGAACGATAAAACGAAATAAAAAATTTAAATTACGGTAATAAAGGCACTGGGCGAAACGGCGAAAGATTTAACGCAGATTTTAGAGCAAAACATCTATTTTTAACCATGTCAACATGAACCGTCGGACTAGTATTTTATGCTTGTTGGGAAAAAACTCCCGTAGTGTGTGTTCCAGGTTTGGGTTAGGCCATAATTTTATTATGATTTTTTCCATATTTTTGTTGTATTACGAGTTCGGGGACTGTCTGTTTTAGTCAAGTAAATGTACCCCCATAATATGTTTCAGTCACTTTACACAACTTTATGTGAAGTAGGCGAACCAAATTAGTTACCTCCATAGCGCCAAAATTTGAGTGTTTAAAATGGCTATTCGGGCCCGCAGGACGCCTTTTGCACACCACTGGTCTATAGCCTCTATATATATTTTTGGTTTTTAAAAAACGACAAGGTGCGATACCATTCGATCAATCCGCCCACGTGGGAAAGAAAGCTTTTGAAACCTGCAAAAATGCTGCGTGGTTGTTGCCTAAATAAATGGGTTTATTAATTTTAATATTTTATCGCAACACTGTGAAGGAGTGGTCCTTTAATCATAACAATTGATATTTTATGTGGGGGCGAGTATTTAAAATAATACTTGTTTTTTACGAAAATGCGATTTGACATATATATTTATGCGTTTAGTGAAAAGAAGGGGGGTGTGTTATTATCTGGTCTTACTTTTTTGATATTTGGTGGGTGGCGATGGTGGGAAGGCGAACGATCATAATTTATAATCGATTGTGTTTCATTGAAGATCGCATTTGAGTTTAATCGCTTGTTGGTATAGTTTACCAAATGCGCACAAATATATGCGAAAAAGACTAACAGTCTACTGTGCCTTCGATAGGGTTTCTAAGTGACCAACTATACTTATTCTTAGATTAGTGTAAATATGTATAATGCAATAATACTGCAGCAAGAATAAAGACAATATTTCTAAGTAATTTAAGAGTCGCGATACGTGCTGGCTCAACTGTACTACAGATATATATAGAGAGAGTGAGAGAGAGATAGATGAATTTTGTGTGTATGAGAAAGTCTAACCTTGATCAGACGAAACTTTACAGTAACAGATTCGAGTTAGTCTTCAGCAAGACTCTTGAAATACTTTGAAGTGTGGATACTATTTGTACCACGTATCATTGGTAATTAAATAGTCGAACTCTGATATGAGCAGAGCCCGTTAGGTAATTCAATCTGGCCCCCCTGATGCTGCCACAACCCAACAAAAAATAAAATTTGATGTTTTAGCTCGAGGAATTTGTTGAGATTGCGATTAAATTTAGTTTGGGCACGAGGCTTATTTCCAATTTCGCTTTTGTAACACCGTGAAAACTGTTAATAAAATGTAACTTTTTACGTCACACTTACATGGCCCACTAGTCTAGGACAGCCAAATTTTTGGCCCTTGGTCTGAAACCCTTGCCCAACCTTGGTCTAACTGCACACTTTTAAACAAATTTATTTTTGTAGCGCCTCGTCTTAGTCATATTTTGCAGGCAAACGTAATATATTGCCTTACTTTGACAAAAACGTTGCGGAATTATATTAGCGGTAGTGAGAAGAAAGACTTTAGTATTAAATATTATATTAATTATTAGCAAACAAATACTTCAAAGTGAGTCACATTATTTCACAAGTTAAAATTCTCTTGCTGCACGTTGACACAAATACTGTATATCAGTGCTTCCCAACCAGTGGGTCCCGAAGCTATTCAAAGTCGGTCGCGAAGTATTTCAAAATGTTACATACAGTTTTCGATTAGATCGGGAAATTGTGACATTATCATTACGTAACAATTATGAAACAATGTAACAATCAGAATAATGCGTCGTTATCAGACTTGATTTGATAATATGCAATATGCAATTCTTATTAATAGTAAATTGCACGGGAATACATTGTTTCTTTGATCATATATTGACATCTCATTGTGGATCGCACATAAAAACATAGCAACAAAAGTGGGTCGCGAACTGAAAAAGGTTGGAAAGCACTGCTGTATACTATAGTTAAATTATGTTTGTTCGAGACCTCAGTCCGCTAAAACGTTACAGAAATACATTTGTTTATTATTTATCAAGGCTATTAATTAAATTAACTTCAACTGTGCATTTAGCAAAAACATATCTCGGAGTAAGTTTCATTGTTCATAAATTAAAATGTCATTTCAAACCGCTTTGGCCGCGTCGCTGTTGCTAATGACATTTGCTCCGCGAGCAGCGCTCAGCTCTCAACGGCTCTGCGTAAATATAGAGAATAACGACTTCTTGGAACGACCTTCAAACCAACAAGAGCAACTGCAAAGAGTGTACGGAGCTCCTGGGAAAAAGGGACCAAAAGGGGATGCTGGGCCACCCGGTAATCGTGGCCCGAAAGGCCCGCCTGGAAATGTCGATTATGAGAAGACATATCTTGTGATTGACGAAAAGATTAACGCAGGTACGCGCATGATACCCGAAAATGAGACTGGGTCTTATTTTTCCATTTATCAAAAGCAAAATTACAATGTAGAGAATTACGAGATTTTCAAATATACAAAATATAAAAACCGATATCCATTTACTTATAAATAACATTTAAAGTTAATATTTAAAGTAACTACAAACATAGAATATTAATCATTTAAGTTTTAAAACGTGTAGGGGAGATTTCATGCTATCGACTAGGTCGAAAAATTCGCGTTATTGACTAGGGCAGGGCTACTCAACTATTTTTATCGAAGGTCCGCAAACAAAACTTCAAAATTATTTGGGTCCGGTCTTTCCAGAAATGATATTTCGGCATCCTTAAACGAGCACTTCCTCGACCGACTAATGATTAGTAGCAAATTAAAATTTGTATTATGGTGTTATAGTTCTTTTCGTATATATCCAAAACTATGAAAGTCATTTTATAATAGGAAATTCAATAAGTGGGGCTAATGATCCAAAATAAATAATTAGGTGCGGTCCAAATCCAATACTCGAAAGGTCCGAATTCGGACCGCGGTCCGCCAGTTGAGTAGCCCTGGACTAGGGCTTGTTTTGAGGGGAGGGCTTATATTAAAAGCTTTTAAAAATTGAGGCTAGGTCTTATTTCAAATAAACACGGTAGAATAGTCAAAAGGCAATTTTATCAGCACCTGCTATATTATATTGAAATTGCCATCCTAACATGTCGAATTTAAATCCTGTGTAACACATAGTTTAGTCAACGCCTGCCTATGTGTCAGGCAAATTTGCCTAGAACTTCACTATTTGTACGACGTTTCATACGTTATTCGGTTAGAGCCATATGAGGTATTTATTATGCAGCATCGCAACATCATACAGATCTCTCATGTTCGCCGCACTGACAATTTACTTAATAGTTACATACTATTAAAGCGCCCGAGGTTATTATATTTAGTTCTTACACGCCGTTTTGCTTGCATTTTTTTCCTGAACGAGTCTTTGTATATACAGAAATTGATATGTAAAGGCCATATCATTGAGGGTCATACTCCCAACCCCCGTTTCTGAAATGTACATTTTTCTGTATCATATATAGCAATGTTTGTAGTTTGAAACGCTTTTTAGACCCTCCAGACTCTTGAAAAAGACATGTTTTCCGCCAGCTGATACGGACTAATTCGGCAATTGGAAATTTAAAAATTGCTGACTACGCCCCTGCCTACACCTTTTGCAAGGTTTAATTAGACCAGTGGTTCTCAACCTTTTTTCTTTCGTGGCCCGCTTTCGTTGCATAAAAATTCGATGGCCCACTAACTTTCTCATGCAAGGAAAAAACTACAAGAAAAACAAGACTCTGTTTGCAAAAATAAGTTCTCTCACTTTAAGAATTAGAATGAAAAGCAGCAGCATCATTCAATGCTACTACCATAGAAATTTGACTATAATGACACAAATGAAAGCAAACTTTTCAATAACCATAGTAGTTTTTAATAGACTTGTGGACCACTTGAAAATGTCTCTATGGCCCAGCAGTGGGCCATGGCCCACTGGTTGAGAACCAGTGAATTAGACCTACAATACGTCCCGGTTTGGCCGGGACAGTCCCGGTTTAAACGTCTGTCCCGGTTCGCAAAATGTCCCAGAATTTTACTTTAGTGAAATTTTCAAAATTAACTCCAACCTGATGCAAAATTATAAAATAATTCCGTCCCAAAGAGCATAACCTTGCTTTAACTCGAGGCATATTTTAATATCTTAATTTTTTTAGCTTATTAGGTTGAGTAAAATATCGCGCATAGCTTGAGAAATTCTTTAGTTAGGGAATAATGAGTGACGTTTATTGCGTCGTTATTCTATTAACTTCAATGAAACTACAGCAATTGCTGCATTAGAAGCCATTTTAGGTATGCTTGGAGTTGGAGGAGGCATAATAACTTTCGTTTGGTTTTGTTTGAGTCATATTATGCTGCAAGTAATCTAGAACTTGAGATTCTGTTGTAGAGTAATGCAATATTAAAGCTTATAAATATGAATATGGAATAAATATTTGCCAGCCTCAGGCCTTCGGCCTTTCGTCCATTTATTTCATTCACAGTTTTGATTTTGTCCTGGATTATGCCCAAGAAATTATGGTAAGTCTAGGTTTAATTCTAACTATATAGCAGCACATTTTGTGTTGTTATGTCTCGTTTTCATGTTCAACTTCATTATGCGATACCAAGTACGAAGATCCAGCTTACGAATTGTTGGTCTTACCTTGAATTAGGTATAAGAATTTGTCGAATTCGTTTTTTTTTCAAACTTATGAAGAATATCGTTATCATTGTACATTTGCAAATTTTTCTGAAACTCGGTATAACTTATATCTAATTAAAGCAATGGTTTGGATCGAGCCTGAGTAATGCTGTCTTCTCTTTTTCAGCAATTCGCAAAGTCCGGTCAGAAATGAAACGAGACATGAAAAAGATTGAAGACAAGTTACTACAGGAGAATAAAATCCTTAAAGCCAAAATAGGTAAGTTTTGTTCTAGTTAATGCCTCCAGAAAATATGAATTTAATATTAAGAAATTCAACCAAATGGGGAAAATCGAGAAATCTGTTTAGGACAGGGGTGTGTACCAAGCCATTCAGTGGGGCCATTGTCAACACTCAGATTCTCCCCATCAAGCATAAAATCCTAATCCGACATTCGTGTTTAAAAAGTCGCTCATGTGGATATAAATAGGCCTACAAATGTTTTTTTGCCGTTGTCGCTGTGTTAAATCATTCGTCGATTTGCCCGGTGCGTTCATTACTGTAAGACTGAGCGATACCCGCATTTTTGGACACGTCAGTGTACATAACGATCGTTTCAATATTATATTATTGTTCTTGTTATTATTCTTCTCTTTCGTCATGATGAAATCGCTTTTCTTTTCGAATACTAGACCAATTGCTTTGGAATTTCCAGTGGTTTAAGATTGATTTTTTTTGCCAGAAGGCTATTACTTTTACTTATATCGAAAATTTCTGCGGACTTCAAGAGATTCGTTTTTTATGTGTCAGAATAAAAAATAGCAACGCCTTGTGACGTGTCCATATATTTGAGCACAGCTCTCTTGTCTTCTCTTGCCTTTCGCGCACGGAAAACTGAATTTTATGTGTGGCCCGGCTGGATGCCCGAAGTTGGTCATATGGCCCACAGACATAAAATGTAGCATACGCTCTGGTTTTGGGGAAACGACGAAAAGTATCTTTGTGTCACGAATTTTCAGGTATACGATCCATTTAAATTTGCGCATAATAGAAACTTAGACCATTCGGTGGAAAACTGAACTCGCGGTTTGGTGGAAATTACGCCACACATTATTTCGAGTGATGCGTAAAAGAGTGTGTTGTGCCGAACTTGAAACAAATGACGGCAGATAATGAAAATAGTCAATCACGCAAAATTCATTTTCATTCATTTCCGTCCCGTAATTTGGTGTTATTTGGAGTGCCGCGTAAATGCATTCGGCAGTTTTAACGCCGCCGAAAACAACGATTAACAAACGTTCAATGTTTTTTCTTTCGGTCCCGTAATTTGGAGTGCCGCATAAACGCATTCGGCAGTTTTAACGCCGCCGAAAACAACGATTAACAAACCTTCAATGTTTTTTCTCTCGGTCCCGTAATTTGGTGTTATTTGGAGTGCGCATAAACGCATTTGACAGTTTTAACGCCGCCGAAAACAACGATTACAAACGTTCAATGTTTTTTTTAGTCCCGTAATTTGGTGTTATTTGGAGTGCCGCATAAACTCATTCGGCAGATTTAAAGCCGTCGAAAACAACGATTTAACAAACGTTCAATGTTTTATTTTCGGTAAATCGTTCTCTTTTTCCGAATCGCGTAAATCTAATTCAAATCGATTCGGAAAAGATGCGATTCGAATCGATCCGATTCGTAAGTCCAAAAGTGGCATCCCTAACTGTGACAAATTGCATACCCTTATCATCAAGATGGCGCACGACCTGAACCGTAACCTGGTACACACACTATGTTCAGGTTGTGCGCCATTTTGGTGCACATCATTCGGGAACACCTTGATCATTTCGTGTCCATATATTTAAGCACCGCCCTCTTGTTTATATTCAGACGGGTTTTGCAATGTTGAATACCAGAATTCTTGTTATTGGATTCACCTCGGCAACCGGCCTATGGATATTAATCAAGCCTCTACTTTTTGTGAAGAAAGACAGTCCTCGATAGCTGACATATTGGACGAAGATCACTACACTTTACTAATGGAAAAAATTCGATCTATGTTGCCGAAAAACCGCTCATCTGTTGATGTATGGATCGGTACACAGCTGGATCAGACTGTAAGTAAATAGTTGTTTGTGTCACATTTGTGTGCTACCTTTAATACAGAAGAACCAGATACAAATAACTGTGTGAAGCCGCGAGAAGCATCTTTATTTAACATAAACTCTCTAGTAGATGCAGGTACAGAAAGTTGTTTCTTTTTGTTATCGATCTTAAGGCATTCTTAGGGGTCTTTGTAAAAATGAGTTAATAAGACGCATAAATTCCTGATGAACACTGCTATTCAAATTGATATTATAACACCACTTTAAACGAATTCAGTGAGAAACACATTTTATGACATCGTGTATTTTACTAGCGTTTTGCCAATATGACAGTGGCACTCATGTATAGACTTTGCGACACAAATGGATTGAAATTGCTCGCACGTACCTCATTAAACTAAACTGTAAACTCGTTTCGCGGGCACAGCATTCAAAGTTGACACTTCTCCGCGCGCCGCACAATTTTTTCTTGTGGTCGCAGGTTGCACAACCCTGGTTTATGAGATATCATAAATCCGGAGTCGGAGCTTGGTAGTATTGGAGCCGGAGTCGTATTTCCGAACTCCTGTGACAATCCGAATTTTGAATCGTAACTTCGATTAATGATGATAATCATTTCGGTGTTAAAAAAAACACTTAAACTATTAAAACTTAGAATTACTGATTTACTAAAACTTATTACATTCCGACCTAAATTTTCTATCTAATCACTTCGATATATAAACATTTATTTTCCACATTCACAGGGAATCACATTCTGGAACTGGTATCCCAAGTACCCGTCTGATCGCTCTGAATCGCCAAATATCTCGATCCGCATCAGGAAAGACAAGAAAGACTCGAAACAAGGGATGAGAAACCATCCAAACTCAGCCGCCTTCAGCGACGTTATTTGCAAATTTATAGGAAATTAGTCACCTCGGCTTGGTCACATACAATGTGTGGTACATGTTTACTGAACGACGTAGGTACTTATATTAGACGTGGCACAACCATTTTTGCACATGTTATTTGTCACTCCCACTTGGTTACGTCATCCTAAAATTACGTCACTACGACCTCATAATCATGCCAAATAGCTTGCCAAAGTATAGCTACGATCGCCCGAAATGGCATTTTCACCAACGATAACGAACTCACTAACGCCAGCGATCTCTCTCGTATCGGGATCGTTACGAGGAGGAAACGAGAGAAATAGTATGCTCGATTTCGCGTGATCGTCTGCGCGTCTTGGATGATAGTTTGTAGGGCCTTTTTACGTTACTGTGACGTCGTAGTGACGTAATTTTTGAATGACGTAGTCAGGTTGTGATTAAGAATAACATATGCAAAAATGGTTGTGCCACGCCAATTAGAAGATACTTACGTTGTGTTGTGAACATGGCCCCAATGTGTTGATATTCAATCCACACGTCGGATGAATAAAATATAATATCCATATATTGAGAGCGGTTTTAATCCAAAATAGCAAAATTTGAAAAATCTGATTTGAGAAAATTATAAAAATATGCATTTTCCATTTTTACTTTCTCCACTTGTCGGGACTGAAAGTATTGATCGTTTTAATAAATTGCAAATTATTGCTGAAATTTTTTTTTACTTTTTTGCTTATCGATCTTTAGATCGGTAAGTATGTTGATGGGTATTTGTCTGTTTGTCTGTCTGTCTGTTAGATGCACGCGACATCTCACGAAGGCGTGGTTGAATCTGCTCCAAATTTTGCATGTGCAATCGTCATATCTCGGACCAGAAGTCTATTGATTTTGGATGAGTTATGTCGTATAATTAGCGAGTTATTAATTAATTAGTGATGGGACACGCGGTGTCACTATAGAGTCATGAATCGAAACCGCAGTTTCGATCGATAAGTCTTCGGTCTCCGACAGATATTCTCGTTTACCGATCAGTGGTTCCCAACCGGACGAATCAAAATATTTCGAGTCAAAATATCAAATATTATTTCCTAAAAAAATACTTTTCATTAGCTTTTGTTTACTTTAGATTTAGAACTTAACATAAAATGATTTAATCTAATTGAATTAACATTGGAATGGTACTATATTGAACATCCTCGTTTTGATCGTTTATGTATACAAAATAGGTTTGCAGGACGATTTCGAGTGCATCGCGAATTATAATTCATTTACTAAAACATTGGTTTACTCAAAGAACTATACTCAAATATGGGGACACAGAGGGCAAAACGAAATATTTCGTCATCATCGGGGTACAGTGACGGTAAAGGAACTGTCATAGCTTTTCCAGGTCCTGTGGCGCTGATCCATTCTTCATAATTCAGTTTCAATGCGAACTAAAATACCAAACGATCCGTAGGTTCCAATAATCAAATCTGGTAAATTTAACGCTGAAAAAGAAGTACGACAGCCACAGTATGATCGTTTATGGGCAGGACAAGCTCATGCATCTCATTGATTGAATGTGCATATGTCACAAAAATTTTTCTTGTCATGATTTAAGCAATCAATCTATTTTGGCGAAAGAAAAACGTTGGACTTTATCATGTCGATAACCGTGTGCGAATTGAGTGTAACATTAGGGCGAGGAGGGATGAAGATATCGCAAAATGAGCAAAGGAATGATTAATGTAAAGAAAAGGCTGAGAACCACTTAGTGGCTAGCGCTAGAGCGTTAGACTTGATTATGTTACCGTCAAATGTGAAAGATCCCCCCACGTCGGCAGCGATACCCAGGATGTAATAATGTCGGGCTTGTCCATAAGATGGGATAGTACAGTATACATTATATTTCCCAGTGGACACATTTGGCAATTGGGACAATTTTTTAAAAGATTACGTTTTGTGCTTTAATAAAATTAACATCAATATCTTTACCGGCACTGTTTCAACACTGATGGTGTGGTAATGTGGTAGCACGGTCATGCGTATACACAGTCAGAGTAAGGAATCATCAACAAATTCTGTCGTTTTGCATGTCTCGTTGTACATGTAGTCATATTCAGCAAATACTAAACCGAAATTTGCATAAATTCAACAATTTTTTTTGAAATGTATTCCAGTGAATGAGACAGGCATATATTGCTTTCATAGTTATTTTATTACGTCACTATGCATGAAGAGTTTGTTTCCGTTTACTGTTCATTCATTGATTGATTGATCATTCGCCAATTTCTGTATTTCGTGCAGTTCCAATTGCTCATCATGTGTGCATGAATATAAATAACAGTTATGTCAAATAAGTCACGAATATTAGTAATATTATACACAATTATAGAAATTCAAATTTTCTTCTACAAAAACATCGGTTCTCAACCAGTGGGCTATCCCCACAGAAACATTTTTAGGTGGGTTATTAAAAATTGTTATTGATGAATTAGTTAACTTTGATTGTATTGGAAATGAATGTTTTTTTGCTACTAAATAGTAATTTTCATTGTAATTATTAAAGTGAAAGAATTTACTTTTCCCCTCGCCTGAGAACGTTAATAATAGACAATACGTTTATTTCGCCGTGCAAGAAATCACAACACAAATTCACAACAGATAAAAAAAATCATGTATTACATTAACAAATTTCATTGCAATTGATAGGAAGTCGCAAAGGACCAGAAATGGTCATCATAAATCAGCGACACATAGATTTAAGACAAGTCAAAATTAAAAATTGCGATAAAAGAAAGCAATAAATACAAAAAAAAAACTTAGTCATTCAAACAATTACCAACAAAGCAGGGAATGATATAAATCTTCATATACGGTAGCATTTGAGAGATAGAGAAAAAATATAAGTCGTGAAAATTCAATTAATACACCTAAGTTTTAAAATTAGTTCACCACATCAATGAGTTCTCCTTCTGTACAATTGCAGCGATTAATTTTTTTGGTTCCATTACATTTGAACCCAAGTACATTTGAACCCATGACAATTGCACCTGTATGCTATTGCACCTATGGAATTTTTTTGTTTTGCGGATAGTTGAACCCATACTAACCCTAACCCATGGGTTTTAGCACCCGCATATAGATTGAACCCGTGGATATACACACGAGTTCAAATGTACGTGGGTTCAAATGTACGGTCACCAATTTTTTTATCTACGTTTATTTCGTCATGCAAGAAATCATACACAAATTCAATGCACAGCTTATTATACAATACAGCAAAGGATTTCATCGCAATTGGCAGCAGGTGGCTTTCATCACAAAGACTAGAAGTGGTCATCATAAGTCTACGACACCATCATTTGAAATGAGTCAAAAATTGAAATAATAAAAAAGGCAACTGAAGAGGATAGGATAGGATTTACATATTTATCCCGGGGGAGAGGAAAGCCGATAAGACGGCTTATCCATATGGCGAACCACGGCCTCTCGTCCGGTTACCATTCCAAGTCGGGTATGGGATTAGTTTTACTGTATTGTTTGTTTTCGGAAGCATGGACTTGGTGGTGGAGGAAGCCGTAACCGACCAGCGGTTACGTGAACCACCCAACGACGGCGAGGAGTCCAGCAATCCTCTCGCACATAACCATCCCTGCATGGGATTCGAACCTGCGAAACCACGCAGAGTAATTAGAGGTGCGGTGGCGAGCGTATTCCTAACGCTTAGCCCGTTGAGCCACACCGCCGCGCCACCAAGAGAATATTAGTCATTCAAAAAAAAGGGGGGATTGGTAAGAATTTTCACATATAATTTTAGAATGAGAAAAAAGGGTGTGGTCACAGAATGTTTTGTGCAACGAAAATGGGCCAAAAAAAAAATAAACGTCTAAAACAACCAGGAATGATTTGAATTTCCAGCGCAATTTGCACTCCTAACCCTAACTGGATAATTACTAATTTTAGAATTGGCGGGAGTGTTGTTTCCCGGGGACTTTGTAAATAAGATCCAAAACTTCCCTTTTGTTTTTGCAACCTTTTTGGGCGGAATATCGGGTAGTATACGACTCAGATAAAACTTTGAAAATAAGTGACAGCATTTCAATGACTTCTTTAATTACTGAAAATTCAAAATCAGTTGGTCGATTAGTTGTAGAGAAGACGATTTTTTCAACGGGTATTCAGCAAATAATTCCAAATTATGCTCGTCTAGTTTCGATCACCTGCAACTGGGTTCGAGCCTCTGTCATTCTGATCAATATAATGTGAATAAACTTACCACTAAACGCGTCAGGAATATTTTTAACAGAACGTTCTAACTTTACAACAAGACGCATAATCTTTAATCACGTTTTTTCGACGAGACGCCTAAGGCCAAAAAGCGCTTCGATATATAAATTTTATTTATACGGCCCGCCATCGCCAACTAGAGACAAGAAATATATCATTTTCTTCGCACATTTGTTGGTGGTTAATGACAACAACAACAAAACGTATTATTACGTCATATTCAGTGTGTTGCTATTAGTAACAAATTGAACCAATCCGCGCTTTGGCGCCAGAGAGCAAGACAAAATCTGATGAAATAATTCGAGCGAGGGATTTACAACCAAAATCGAATATATTTTTTTTGCCTAATTTTGATACTGTAATATCAAATCTGTATTTAGTAATTACCGCGTTCTAGTCTTGTTTACAACTCAGTTTAAAAATCTTGGATTTAACAAGTAAATCCAGTCGGAAATGTCAACATCTTTGTCGCCATTAATGTCTATGTGTAACTTAAAACCCATTTTATCGTTTCAACTCATTTATCAGTAATTCTTCTATTTTAGCTACATCTTGCAAGACCTTACATTGAACAGATTTGCATGAAAAGTTGGATTATAACATTCCAATAAGTAAAAATCGTTTTCCATTATCAGTTCCAAGGACAAGATGTGTGTCTGTGTTGTTATCTCGCCGTTATTTACTCAGTGTCGTCCTTGGCGCCGCTAACAATGCCTAATGTATGAGAATCTGTCCGCAAAGGGGTTAGATTTCATTGCCATTGCAATTTTGTACAAGTTTTGCTAAAGCAATGTAACAACTGAAGCAAGCGCTGAACTGAAAATAGAAGAGTAGTGATAAACAAGTTTTAATTTATCACTGGTGTGACAAATAGAAAAGTTTTATCCAAGTCTTTTTTTTTTGAAATTTCAACACTTGCCCTGTGTCATGTAACGGTCGTTTTCATACCCAACCGGTAAA